GGGAGCGCGCGGCGCTGACGGCGGCGCTGAACTCCTTTGGAGGGGCGGTGAAGCGCCGCACCGCGCCGCACGACGGCAGCGCCCCGAGGGCAAACGAAGCCGAGGATGAAGAGGGAAGGCGAGGGGAGACCCCTGCGGCCGAGGCGTGGGCGCAAACCCCCCCTGGTGGCGGGGATTCCCGCCTTCGACGCTGCGCGGCGGTGCTCGCGGTGAAACACGTCGGGATCGCCGGCGGGGATCCCGCCGAGGAGGGCGACGGCGAGGGCCTCGACGCGTTGGCGGCGGAGGAGGGGTTGGAAATGGGGTTGGGGGCGCGGCGGCCGCTCGTGCTGCAGTCCTCGCTCGGCCCCGTTACGGCCTCGGCGTTGGTGGATATGGTGATGATGAGTCTTTCCGCGCTCGACCTCTTCACGGAGGAGGCGATCCAAGCCCTCCACCTGCAAGGGCTGCAGGCGATGCAGTACGAAGCCGCCAAGCGGGCGCAGGCGGAGGAGTTGGAGCGGCTACGGCGGCTCGAGCAGCAAGGGGTGGATGCGATCCCGTGGGGAAAACTTCTCGAGCACGTCCAGGATAGCGCCGCGCTGCACGCGAAAGGGCTTCGGACCCTTCGCCATATCCCGGCGCGCGCACGGCTGCAGCGGGAGGCTTTTCGTTCGATCCTCCACGCCTACCATTTCGTCCGGCGGGAGTCGGAAGCGACCGTGCGCGGCGCCCAGGCGCTCATCGCGCGCACGTTGGTGCAAATCCCCCCCGCGTTAGCCGACGCCGCGCTCGACGAGCTCCTCCACTACCTCCTCCACGAGTTCCGCCGCGAGCGCGCGGTGAAGCAGGAGGTGGGGGCGCGCAGCCTCGTCGGGGATCCCGGCGCGGCCTACCAGCTCACTCTGCAGGCGCTTTTTATGTTTTTCTCCGCACAGGCCCCCGTTCGGGCGCGCGGTGCGGCGGACGTCGCCACAGCGGCGCTCCTCCTCGACGACGACGGGCTCTCCCGCCGCGGCGACGGCGCGGCGATCCTCCACGCCCCGAACGCCCCTGGGGTGGATACGGAAAACCCCATCGCGTTTCTGCACGGCGGCGCCGAATCGGAGGCCGAGACCGGCGGCGCCTGGGAAGGCCGCGGGCGAAAACGCGCGCGTGGAGGGGTGGAGGAAGGCCCTACGATCGACGACTCGGCACCCATAAGCGCCTTTACGAAGGAAGAAGACGAAGGCTTCAGCTTCGCGAACGATACACGATCGGCGCCGTGCGCGTACAGCCACGCCCTCTGCCGCGTGATGGAGCTGGCGGAGTCTTGTCAGCTCAACGCGCTTCTTCTGGATATCCTCCTGCAGGCCCCCAGTATTACGCGGTACGTGTGGAATTACCTCTACCGGCAGTACTGTCTTTCCACCGATAAGGTGCGCTGCATCATTGGGTTTTGGCTGCTGAAGAATCTCGCGATACGGCGTGAGGTGTATCGCAGCTGCGCCCTCAACCTCCTCCTGCATTTGTGTTCCTCCACCAGGGAGTACGCGCGGCGGCTCGCGATTCGTGAGATCGGCAGCCTGCTAACGACCACGCAGGGCCCCCACGCAAAGTCCGTTATCTCTCAGGAGGTGGAGGGTCTTTTGGTGCGCCATGCAAAGCGGCAAATGGCGTCCATTCCAGGCTACCAGTACCCCACCTCAGGTCGCGTGGAGGAAGGGAAAAGCGCCGAGGAGGTTCGCGCGCAGGAAACGCTTGGGCGTCATCTGGGGCTCTTTTTGAAGCTTTGCCTGCGACAGCCCCGCCAGCTCTTCCCTTCGCTGCTTGAGATGTACAAGCAGTGCGTGGAGCGAAATCATAAGGTGATGATGCGGGAGATCCCCCGCCACTCGGATATCCATCGCATGATGCAGGTGCTGTTCAAGTCGGACCCCGCGAGCTTTATGATCACGGTGGTACCATACCTACGGCGCTACAGCAAAGACGCCACCTGCTTGGTGCAATCGATTCTCTGGAGCATCGGTGAGAACCTGCGGGAGATGTGCGCGGAGGCGGCGGAGGCGGCGGCGGCGGCGGAGGGCACCTCCAATAGCATGGAGGCCCTGGAGAACTACAAGAAGGTCGCCATCGCGCTGCTAGCACATGTTAAAGCCATGTATATGGCGAGTATCATTCCTGTTTCCTCGAACGACCCTGCTGAGGGCGTGAAGGAGGTCGAATCGGAGGGAGGTCTACATGATATACGCTTTGTGGCGCCATTTTTGAGTCTGACTTCCGCCGCTGAGCTGAAGCAAACATACCTACGCGCGTTTTTGTACTTTGTTCAGGTGCAGCTCCAGCTCCAAAGGCGGTGCGAGCTCCACGGTGGTCGGGAGGGCCTCTCCGCTCGCGAGTCGACTTTCTTGCTCACCCGACCCGAGCTTCGGGAGCTCCTTCAGGCGGTGATTCGAGAAGTGCTGGTGAAGCATCCGCTTCGCTTCGACGACGGCGTGGCGCGCGGGATGTCGTTGGTGGATTTCTTTGTCTACCTCCACCGCGCCCCGCAGGAGAGCGTAGGGAAACGGGGAACCCCATTTGAGGGTGGTGGCGCGTTCGCCACAGGAGCGGGAGGAGGGGGCACCCAGGGTAGGCTCTACCCGAGAAACCAAGAAAAAGGCATCCTCGATACCTCTACCTCGCAGCAGGACCCCGCGTTCGACGACGACAACGACGCCGGGCGGGCGATGCCGCCGATCGGGGTGATCACGACGCGTGAGGTGATCACCGTCTGCCTCGAGCTCACGCGCAGCTTCGACCAGACGACGACGCTCCCGCTTTACGGCCCGGAGGACGTCTTAAAGGCGATGCGGCGGATGCTCCACACACCGCCGGTGCCCTCGCAGCTGATGTCGACGGTGTTGATCGCCGCGGCGGCCTTCACGCGGAGCCGCGGCAGCGATTTCGTACGCGCCGTCGTGCAGCACGTGTTGATCCCCTTAGAGCGGGCGAGCGCCTGGCAGAGCGATCCGCAGCTCTGGCGAGGAGTGTTGCTCTTCGCGGAGACGTACTACCGCGAGTGTGGGGGGTTTCTGATCAACCTCCCCGATCAGGTGCTCATCCAGGCGTTGCGGGATCACCCCGTGTTGATGGCGCACGTCCGAGAGGAGCACGGCAACAACGCCTCGTTTGGGCATATTCTTGGGAATGCGTAACGTAATGATCTCAAAAAAAAAAAGGAAGTTACGAGACGGAAGGGGGCTCCAAACCCGGCAGCGCGCAAGAAGTCTTGCCGTCTTTCTGGGAGGCCGTCTAACTTTAATCATACACACGGAATCTGTTGTGACACTAATCAGATAGAAGAGTATAAAAGATCTTAAATGGAAACAATGTGACAAGGCATTCTTCATATTTCCTCTCATTCTCTCTTTTACGTGGGCAGTAATTCCGTCTGGTATCCTTCTTTTCTTTAAATTTATGCTTTCTGCCTAGCGTTCTTGTTATTTCACAAGAGATCCATCGCCGACTGGGAACCCTTTGGTCTTTCCCGCCTACCCCTTCCTTTGATCCCTCGTCATGCCAACACGGGTTGATACGCGGCTCGCCGCGCGGTTGTTGGATTCCTCACTGAAGTACATCTTATCCGACATCGACGGCGTTGTTGTCTCCGGCTCCGAAGTCATCCCAGGCGCCCCCGAGGCCCTCCATTACCTCCGCCGACAGGGCAAAGAGATCCGCTTTCTCTCCAATAACGCCTCACTCTCGCGGCGGGAGATTCTCGAGAACTTCGAAAAGCACGGGATCCGCGGGTTTACCGAGAAGGAGATCTACAACAGCGGCTAAGCCGCCGCGCTGCGGCTTCAGCAGCTCTTAGGGAAGCCCGTTCGCGATCCAGACGGCGGGGAGCGCCGCCTCATCCACGGCAACCTCTTCGTGATCGGGGAGGGAGGGCTGCACGAGGAGCTCCGCCGCGTCCTCGCGCCCGGGTTCATCACCTACGGCCTGGAGCTGCACGACGCGGAGCAGGTGGGTGGATTCGACGCCGCGAGGATCGCCAACGCGTGGCGGAGTGCGGTGCTCCCACCACCCCTTTCTGTGTGGAAAGGGAATGGGGAGAGCTGCTGCTGCCACGGAGAGGAAATGGAAAAACAAAAGGAGGAGGGAATCTCCCTTGCAGACCTCAATGCGGTTGCGGTGGTGGTCGGGCTGGATCGTCACTTCAACACACTGAAGCTCGCGTACGCAGGGATGATCCTGCACGGCCCACCACGCGCGGGATGGGGGGAAGAAGAAGAAAAGGGTAAAAGAAAAGCCCCCTCTTCCCCTCTTCCGTTGTTCATCGCGACAAACGAGGATCCGCAGATCCCGATTGGCGCGGAGAACATCCTCGTGCCCGGTGCTGGCTGCATGGTGCGCGCGGTTGCGACGGTATCCGGCCGCGAGCCCGATGCCGTCTGCGGGAAGCCGAAGGTCGACATGGCGACGATCCTCTTCGCGGAGGAGGGCATCGCGGACGCGCGGGCGTCGTGTTTGATGGTGGGGGATCGCCTGATCACCGATATCGCCTTCGGCAACGCGGCGGGCTGCCAGACGATGCTCGTGCTGAGCGGCATCGAGGGGATGCAGGATATTGAGAGGGCGAAGAGGGAACGGCGAAGTGAGTTGCTTCCCGATTACGTGGCGGACTCGCTTGCGTGTTTTATTCCGTAAGCCATGCACGCCACAAGGGCGAGGAGAGGGGGCGTAGGGTTTATTGGCCTTCCGACAAAAGTTTAGATGCGGATGAATGGACCGCTTTGACATGTCTCCTATGCATGCTGATAATCAATATTTGCTAAATCATATTAATCTATCGCTTGAGGCTGTGTGCGTTGTGTGGTATTTACGGCGGCGGGGGAAGGGGACCCATCTCCGAGGAGATCACGATTAACAAAGGTCCGTACAGCTGCGCAGAATAGTATAAAGGTGCTAAAAGGTCGCTATGCGATAAAGCGTGGATCCTGGCCTCTTGATCGGGAATCTACTTCCGATCTGATCGACGGAGAATAGGAAGTTGCACGCATTCTAGGCGCTAAACTCGTTAAGCACATACATACGTATATACTTATACGTATGTATGCATATCAAAAAAAGTAATGGTATCAATATAGAGAATTGGAAAAATAAATATGTTTTTATGTTCCATAGCATGGTAGTTCAAATTTATTAGAGTCATAAGAAATGAGGCCTAGCTCTTTTATTGATTGACCCTTCTTAATCAT